TGTGATATTCATGTATAGTATGTGTAGTTAACTAATATTTATTATATAATTTAGTTGACATTAGTTTAATCACTAGTCTCGACATCACTGCAAATGATGTTAAGGTATCGAAAACAATACAACTGTGGATCAGATATAGAGATAATTGTTGTTAATTGGAGTGAAAAGTGATTAAGACTTCTGAAGTGTTATAAATGTAGTGATTGTTGAGATAATTGTAATGCAGATCAAAGTCAAAACCAATGATAATTGTATTGAATACTAATATACAGTACTATACAATAGTTTATCAATAATTGTTTCATTAGTTGTATTGATTGTCGTATTGTTTAAAGACATGAATGGCTTTGCTTTTCGTGTAAATACACTGTATTTGCCGACAAACCCATTAATTTTGATACAATTGTGTTGAACTGCTTTTTCATCTAATATTTACTCTAATATTAGGTTTGTTTTGGACGATAACGCGGGTCTTCTCAGCTATTATACGGTATTTGCATTTTAGTCATCACTTCTAGAAATCCTTGATTTAATTTTCATTATTTTTGTCATTCAATTCAGTCCAAAGAAAAGATGATAAAAGGCGACCGAAGAGGTTGTGTTAGGCTTAAGGTAAATATTTGCGACTAAATGTTATGAAAAGTTTATTTCAATGAATCAATTGTTTGCATTGATTGAAGGGCGCCGTCATTGGCATCGATGACGAGGACGACAGCACTTTCACCATCACTGTCGATGGCAAGATGTTTCACTTCCAGGGTATGTACCACTCATTGACACCACTCTTGGTTTTTGATACAATATTTTTTGGTTTAAGTTGAGTGCCAATTAAGTCTCAATTCTTAGTGAATTGATACATGAATTTTTAGATTAATATTTTATTCTCGTTTCAAATTGATTTCATTTGTTTGTAATGAATTGATTCTTTGGTTTATTTTATTGTTTGATTTATGAACTATTTTTGCGACAAATGATTATTTTTTCAATAAAAAATAAAAGCTATTTTCAAGTGGTTTTTGTACGCATTCTCGTTGAATCGATGTATCATTTATTCAAAAATCAAATAATTGAAAGCCTTATCATTTGTGCGCAAACCTACATAACTCTATAAAATTATAGTGTATTTCAATGCGATTATATAACGCTCTATGGAGTGATATATGATTTTAAAATGCATAATAATGACAATATGTATGTTTCCATGTCATCAAAGATACACAAATGAAAATCGAAATTCAATGAATAGTTTTATGACTAGAAAATAGTCATTAAAACACATATTTATACATAATATTAATTTTCTATTTATAACGTTAACGAGAATTTCGAAGAATTTGATAATAATTCCGATGATATAGTACTTAATGAAAGTGCCTTTAATTGCATGTCTGTCCCACTCTGATAGCACACGACGCTGAAGAGCGGAGTCGTTGGGTAACGGCATTAGAGGACACGATCTTAAGACACACTCACCGGCGCCGCACCAAAAAGAGTGATCAAAGCCAAGTGCCAACACTTTCCGATTTTGAACGCAAACTCACTGAAACTGACACTTATTTACAACTATTGATAACTCAAACCAAACAATTGGATGAACACATCGAAAACACATCCATCGACTCCGAGAAAGAGAAATACTTAGCCATTAAGACGAAGACATTATCCCTTTTGGATGGCATCAAACACACGATTGTTTTGCTACAAATTGCTAAGGTTTGCACTCGAGTTCTATATTATCTTTATAAAAAAATTGAAATATATTTTTTAGTGTAATTATATCTATTGTATAGTACTGTATATCAGAATATTCTTTACTAATTAAGTCTTATATGGATTGCCAACAGAACACAACACATCCAGTGAATGGAGTGTTCACTAATAGTATCGCCACAAGTGTCGACTCGACCACCAATTCATCGTTAAGTGAAGAATTAGTGAATAATGAGAATCAATTAGAAAGCAGTGGAAGTGATAGAGTGGTGTCCCACACAAGCCGTCCCCCATTAGAACACAGCTATTCTGTGAGTGAATCGGTTCTCAACTTGCATTCAGTGCCGGAAGTGTCTTACAGTAGCAGTGATGACGACGACTTCTTCTACGACGCGCCCGAAGAAACCTCTCCCTCGTCTGTCATGACTAAACCCATTGTCGAGAGTGCGGCTCAAGTTATCGACAATTCAGACGATATGAATTCACAAACTGTTTGCTCCAAACAAAACAATTCAATTGATTACGACCTCATGTATGAGAGCGAAGAGGAAGAGTTGGGTAGCATTGAAGGCCACGGATCTGTTATCTCTCATCTCATATCTCAGGTCAAGATTGGCATGGATTTAACGAAAGTAGTTTTGCCGACATTTATATTAGAGAGGCGTTCACTACTCGAAATGTACGCCGACTTCTTCGCACACCCGGACCTCTTTGTAAGGTATTAGAAATCACTGCTTATATTGTTGACCACTGTTTACAATATTAATAACCCTGTGGTTTGTAGTATTACTGATTGTCCCACACCTCAGGACCGTATGGTCCAAGTGTTGAAGTGGTATTTGTCTGCCTTTCACGCCGGACGCAAGAGCTCTATCGCTAAGAAGCCTTACAATCCTGTGTTGGGAGAAGTGTTCAAATGCTATTGGAATGTCCCGGGGGTTGAATCCAATGTATGAATTATTACTTATATTTAATATTTGTTTTGTAAGTATCTGTTTTTTTAAATTAGGAAAACAAAGCGGTTGAGGGACCCATTCCGTGGGCCAGTACGACAAACCTAACGTTCATCGCTGAACAGGTCTCACATCATCCTCCGATCTCTGCTTTTTATGCTGAAAATGTTGAAAAACGGATCATGTGTTCTGGTATTTGAGCTCAAGATAAACGAAAACACATGTCAACTAATTATAAATA